GAGGGGCGGGCGGGCGGGCAGGCGGGCCAGCCTCTCCGGGGGCCACTGCGCTCGCTCGCCGGCACCCACCACCCCCAGGGAGCGCAAGTCAGGCCCAGGACAGGGGCTCCCCACCGCCCCTCAGTTGTTCTCTATCTGTTCGATGTCCAACTCGCCGTCCAGGGAGCAGGGGCTGTTGCCGGCTGCCCCGCGGTCCCGCCAGGCTGAGGCCGGCCCCCAACTCCTGGCACAGCCCTCGGCCAGGGCGCAGCCGCCCGACTCCTCACAGCACTGCTCCTCCTTGCAGGCCAGCTGGTCGTCGAAGGCCGGGGGCAGAGGCTCGGGGACCGGGGTCCCGGCGGGGGTCCTGCCCCCCAGGCTGGAGGCCGAGGCCGAGAGCAAGGCGGTCCAGGACCTGGTGCTGCTGACGTGGAGGGCGAAGGGGCTGTGCGGGCTGCAGTCCTCCATCCCCGCGCTCAGGCAGCTGAGGCTGCTGAAGGTCTGACAGTTCTGTGGGGAGACAGACACACCGGTCACTGAGGGTCCCATGCCCGTCCCGAACCCAAGGGCCGCACACCGCAGACGGCTGGCTGCAGCCCCTGGGGCTATGTGGCGATGGGTCTGCTGGGCAGTGGCAGCCCACCAGAGCCCGGCCTCCTCCATCATCTGGGCAAGAAGAGGGGCCACTGGCAGGTCGGCAGGAAGAAATCTGCCCCAGTCAATGAACACTGGGTTAACAGACGCAAAATCCAGTGACCCACAAATTAGGAAAGAGCCCGAGCTTGACGCCGCCCGGTCGAAGGGAAGCTGCGGTAGGAAGGCCAGGCTCCAAACCCTGCGCAGACCACCCTTCTAAGGGGTGGGCTGACAGAAACGCACCACCTCCCTTCAGCGGGCAATTTCGCTTCTAGAATTTCCATCTACAGAAAACACTTTAGGATGCATGCAAAAAATCAGCAAAATGACGACTCCTTGTCATACTGTTGAGTTGAAATGAAGCACAGGTAATCCGAATTCCCCATGATAACAGTTCCATAAAGCACGTCTTTTCAGACAAGGGGAGGCGAAGGCTCTGCGGCCTTAGAAAGAACACTGCCGGAGTGAATTTCCAGACCGAAGGGAAACCTCATCAGGCTGCAGAGCTGCACAGAGGGGTCTAAGGCCCACCGACCCCCTCACCATGACCGGGAGTGGGAGATGGGGCCGGGAGGGTAGCGCTGACATCCCAGCCATCCAGAGAGCTGGTTCCCATGTGAGCCTGAGCCCCGCCTGGAGACACCGACTCTCTAGTGAGGGTCAGGCCCCTGTGCCCTCAACAGGCACTCGGTGGTGGATGTTGCAGCTCTGCAGGTGGGAGGCTGGGCTCACCAGCTGGGGGCCTCAAGCAGACCCCTCAGTCACCCTGGCCTCGGCTGCCTCACCTATTAAGAGGCAAATAATGTTCCCTACCTTTCTGTAGGGCTCTTTGAGGGCCCAGTGGGAAATGGTGGCTGCCCACCAAGTGCTGGCTCTGTGTGGGGCCAGCCTGGGGAAGGAGGCAGCCTGGGGCCTCCCTGAGTGGCAGGCGCAGCTCAAACAGGACCCAAGGGTGCTTGGGGACACCCGTTCTAGAGAGGGGGCAGGCCCAGCACTGTGCACAAATGGGTTAGGTTAAACGCCTGCTTTCACAACAGAGCAAAAATCGGGACAGAGAGTTGTGACGGCTAGGGGTGCCCACAGCCTCGCCCTGGGGACCCCCCCGCAGGACCAGCAGCAATGCCGTCCCTTTCAAAGGGGACCCGAGGGGAGAGAGGTGCTGGAGGACAGAAGAGAGGCCTTTGGGCTCCGGCTGCTTCCCCGCAAGCACAGACAGCACACACGGGGGAGCGGGGCGGGGACCTGGAGCGCTGAGGTCACAGGCCCGTCCCGAGGGCCCTGGTCCTTTCGCAGGCTGCGGCGTTCACAGGTCACTCTGAAATGAAGATGACCACCAGCTGTCACGGCAGACAGGCTGCTGAAATAGGCTCAGCAAACGGAGAAGAAAAGCCGCTCTCTCCGGACGAAGGTGACTATGCTGCCGTGTGCACGCTCATTGTTCCTGAACGCTCCAGAGCAAACTGGTCTTGGGTTTGCTTTTCTTGGAGCCTTTTGATTAACTGAGAAAGGTGAAGGCTGGGGGGCTGGCCGGCTCTGGGAGAGAGCACTAGGATTGAAGAGAGAAGGGCCGGGCCACCGATGAGACCTGCGAGGCTGGCCCAGGCCTGGCGGAAGCCCAGGTCATGGCCCCGGCAGCCTGGCGGCCCTCCAGTCCCCCGGTCCGGGGCCACCGTGGGGTTCAGCAAGGCCTCCGTCCGCACAGTGCACATTCCGTTCCCCACCACAGTGGAGGGCTGGAGGCGGCTCCCAGATCAGAACATGACCTGACTCTTGGCCCCCAATGGGAGGGTCTCTGGGGCCCCTTCTGCCTCCCAGCCACTCTCTTATCTGCCTAGACCTGAGCCAGGATGCGAGAAGGTGGGCGGATGGCCTTGCCCGGACAGGGTCGTCAACCCCCCACCTCAGCCTGTGTCCCCGGCTGCCCTGGGCAGGAAGTGTCGTGGAGCCCTGGTGCCCGGGGAGCCCGATCCAGCACCCCCACACGGCTGAGCAGTCAGCCTCTTCACCCTAGAGGAGCTGTGGTCTGCCGTGAGTGGCGACATGAGTCCTGTTATAAAATAATAATGTCCATCGCTTCTCGGCCTTTTGGCTAAGATCAAGTATAAAATAATAATGTCCAACGTAAGCCAGATGTGCTACAAAGGGGTCACAGGGAATGCCCCTGGGGATCAGCCACGTCTGTTCACCCCGGGGTGCGGGACCCCCACCGCGAGCTCTAACACGGCAACAGTGGGAAGCGCCGGCATCAAGCTGAGAGGGAAACGCTCCCGAGCCTGCATTCCCTTTCCCTGGCTGCTCAGACGGCCCCACCCAGACCGACCTCAGGGGTTAAAGGAGCAGGTGGGTGGGGGTGGAGGACTGTGTCTGACTTTATGGCAAATGTGACAGTCTGTGTCTGGGCACTAATCATGTTAAACATTAGCCACACTGGCAGCAGGACGCTGGGGACCCCAGTTTGCTGGGACCCTCCTGCTTTTGCCTGAAGTATTCCCTGAAGAGAGCTGAGGTCAGACAGGCTAACCCAGACCTGGACTCTGCCACCAATGAGTACCAAGGCTTCAGACAAGACCCTCTAAGCTATGGACCTCAGCCCACCTGCCAAATAAGGGGTGGCCCCAGGTGCAGCTGTCTGGAATAACTGAGTCCTTTCTGCTTTGCAGCAGGACAAGAAGCTGCCAGGTCTGGTTGGTGAATGTTGTCACAAGCAGACCCCAGGCTGTCACTGAACCCCACCCCCCCAAAAGTCCTCAAAGGCACCTGCTCCTTGACTGCAAAGCCAATGTCACCTTGAAAACTTTGTTGACTCAAAACTCAGCCGTTTCAGCCAGAGGAAAAACCAAGACCAGCCTGCTGAATGCCCCAGCTGGTGGCAAGCCCCACCTGCCAGGGAGGAATGTGACCGACACAATGGGGCAGTGTGTGTCCCGCCCAGACTCCATCCCCGGGTGAGCCTACCCCGCACCGACACCCAGGGCCTAGGGCTACCCGATGCCCACCACGCCCTGGGGACAGGGTCCTGCCTAGCGTCTCCTGGCAGCTCACCCTCCCCAGAAGCCCGGCTCCCGCAGAACGCTGCTCGGGCCTGCTGGAGGCCCGGAAGCCTGCGTGCCCTCAGAAATGTCTGGGGAAAGCTGCTAACGAGTTCAAAGCACCACGTGAACACATCATTCCATGGTGAAATGATTGCTCCAGGACAAACAGTCCCCCACCCCAAACTCTGCTCTCCTGAGGCCCAGCCCTGGCCCAGGGATGGACCACCCACTTGGGCACAGGCCCGCTCAGGTAACCAAGATCAGAAGGAGCCATCGTGGCCTCAAGCTAGTGGCTGAAAACACTGTTCAGCACCCCAGTCCTAGAATCTGGGGTGACTTCCAAAAGGAGCCCCTAAATGTCAAGATGTTCCCATCAGACCCGCCAGACCTCAGCTCTAGCCAGCACATTCCAGCCCACCCCAACTGTACCCCCGGGCTTTCCCAGTCAGGAGCAACAAGCCCCCCTTCCACATTCCTACATCCTCCTGGGTGGGAGGCCCTGGGGACAGAGACAAAGGTCCTCACCTTCCGCAGTGCACCCCCAGTGGAAGTCTGTGTGGTCCTCCTTGAGGACGGAGGCCCATCAGACCCTGAGCAGCGACAGCACCTCAAGAGCCAGGCCCAGCTCCCTTCTCTATGCCCAGTCTCCCCCACCCACACTGTGAAGGGTCCAGGAAGGTCACAGTCCCTCCAGATGGAGGCACCTGTGCCTGGGGCTGCAAGCTAAAAAAATACCCCCCTCCCCCGGAAACTCAAGTTAACTCAATAGACACTCAGCCCCATCTTGCTGCATGTGCCAACTTGGGCCCACAAGCTCCTGCCCTCCTCTAGTGTTATTGCTCTAATGTCAGCCTGGAGAAGCACAAGGAAGGGAATCCAGAATCATCTACTAGCTGAATTGCACCACAGGCTTAATCAATGAAGACAAAGAGCATAAAGCTGGGGGCAGGGAAACAACAGACTTCCCCCGAGAAGAGTTCGGGGATGCCAGAGTCCCCCTGGAGGAAGGGGTGGAGGCAGCCCACAGACAAGGACAAGGGTCCCCTTTCTCCTGACTGTCCTACCCTAAAGGGGGCAGGCTGTTCTCCTCGTTCCCGTCTCCCTGGGCACCTGCCCCCCCACCCCCATGCCCTGAACCTAGCACGCGTGGTGGAGCAGCTCGGGAGGGAGCTTCTGGAGTTGGAGGAACTGGGCCCACGTCTGACTCCTCCACTGCTGACTTTCCAGAACAGCAATGCAGGTCCTGGCCAGAGGCAGACTGCTGAGTCCCGCAGGAGCCCGGCAGCCGGGAGCCAGCCACCTGCTGTTTGCTGGGGAGCTGTGGTTGCTGGGGCCCCTCTCCTTGGACGTTCTGCGTCCTGAGCGTGGTGCCTCCACAGAGCTGCCCTTAGCATCGAACTGAGACAAGACACGCCCCCCAACCCCCAAGGCACACCCCTTCCCAGACAAGAGCTGTGGCAGAGCCCTCCACTCCGGCTTTGGCTGCTGGTCTTCTAGACAAGCACACTTGGCTTTTCCTCCATTGAAGGCTGTCCCCCCTCTTTTCAATCCAACTTTACAAATCTCTTCATGTTACACATTTTGAGGGAGCTACCTCCAGTATAAAGTTGGGCATAAAGAAGCCCAACTCAACAAGTGAGGACGGTCAGACCTGGTACCGTCCTGGCCTGAGCTGCCTGGAGCCTTGCAGCTGCTCTGCTGGAAGTTGCTGGGCCCAGGGCTCTGGCCAGGCAGAGGCATTTCCTCCCCAAACACTGTGACGAGAACAGAACTCTCCAAGTATCAAGAGAACACCAGGCCACGAGAATGGCTAGCGGCCTGGAAATTTTCTAAGTCTCATTT